GCCCAAAAATAACCCTTCAATTAAGAAAATAAAAATCCAGAAGCTAACTGCTTTGCCAAAAAGTTGACACATAGAAGCTAGTGTGGGCGCCATGAGCCAGGCCGGTCCATCATCCTTCCACCATGTACACAACTTCAGAAACTATCCACTTCGGGTCTCCTGAAAATGAAAAGAAGGAAAGAAAATGGGAATCAGAAATAATAATTAACTAGAAAAAAGAAAAACAAAAAATGAAATTGCTTCCATGGTGTGGGAAAGAAAAAGGAGCAATAACAATTACCTCAAATTACATAAATCACTAAATAGAATATTATATCAATTGAAATATAAATACCTTAATAATTGAAATTTTAAAAATAAAAAAAAAGGAGTAAAATTCAGCTATAATGCATCTTGTACTATAAAATGGCAATTTTTTTGAAAGAAAGGAAAAGAATGCAAAAAGATCAACTTCTACATTTACTAGTAATTTGTTTGGTTTAATATTATTATTTGAATGTGTATGGGTAATTAATGGGTTTTCGCCCCATTGCTTGGCAACAAACAAAATCAAATAGGGTAAGGACACTGAACAAAGCAAAATTAGACAATACCTTCCTTTTTTGCAAGTTACTCAAAGTCCGAGTCCGACTCCCTAGTCCCAGTCTTACACTTTGGAGTCAAAGATACGGTTCCTAAAGGACCTGTACTGGTTGTCTTCTTCGCAGCGTTTTGAAATAATTGAACAGATGGAAATTGTCAATTCCTGCAGGGTAGTACTCTGGAGAATATAATCCGGCAACATCTTTAACTTCCGACAAAATCTAATTGTCAAGGAAGAAAGACGTGGCATGATTGTGATATCCTCTTCTCCTCTGCTTTCATAATCCCACTCTTCCCACTTGTCCATCGAGCCAAATGTCAGTGACTTCAAATTGGGGAAAGCAAAAACGGATGATGAAGATGGAGACAAAGACGTTTCTATCCCCAAAAATTCAACTCCCACCTTTTTTACTTTCCACATACAATCTATCGTGAGTGATTCTAGAGAAGGCAATTTCCCCAAAGGAGGCAAATGTTCCACGTCGCTGCCCAGTATATCTATCTTCTTCAGGTTGGTTAATGGAGTTGTCCAACTTGGGCCAGGCCACACAATTGGATTTGTGTGACCCACTATTTCTAATAAAAAGAATAGAAAAAAATCAGAAATACATTTAAAAAATAGAAATATAATAACCGTACAAGATTGAATTTGTTTCCAAGATTTGTGGGCAAGAATGAACAATAATAATTACCTCACGTTATATCTTACACTGTATAAATCACAAAATAAATATTAAATTATTTAAATTATATATCTTAATTTGAATTTCAAAAATTATACACTAAATTTTACCTATAATATGATATTATTTAATAGTTATTTGAGACTACTTTAAGTGATTCTAGAGATGGCAATTTCCCCAAATCGGGCAAATGTTCAACACTGCAGTAGGAGATCTTTATGTTCTTCAGGTTGGCTAGTGGAGGTATCCAACTAGGGCCAGCCCACACAATTGGATTTGTGTGGCCCACTATT